TGTTTGTGTGCCCCCCGGACGAAATTGGGTGTCTACATTGAGTGAACACATTCCAAAAATTGTCTCTCAAAGGTTTGTAGTTTTCTTTAAGGATAATTTATCTCTGAGTTCTTTTATCAAAGAAATCTTCCTTGTGACAAGAACCTTTTCTTTCTCATCTCTCCTTGAGAATGGTGCACCTCACCTTCTAAATTCTCTCCATTTTTTTTAGTTTATTTTGAGTTTGGATCCATGGAAAGAGCTTGAAGGAGCAAGGAGTCAAGCATAGGAAAATTTAGCTTCCAACTCCACCTTGATTCTATCATTTTAGTATCAAGGGCCTATAATCATCCATGGAGGTGTAGTTTTCTAATTTTTCTGAATTTTTTGTTGTTCAAATATGTTTTTACTTGTCTTGTGTGATATACTCATTATGTAGATTTACATTTTTGCAAGAAATTTGATAGAATTAGCTTGTCTCATAAAAATTGGTTCATACAAATCGTAGATCTAGTAATTCTTGAACCAAAATGTGTTACTTTTAGAATTAGTGAAATTGTGCCTATTTTTCTTTTATTTTGAGTCTTAATTGATGTGAGAAAGCTTGAAATTGAAAATCCAAATCTAAAAATATTGCATGATTTGAATTTTGGAATACATAGTTTTTATATCTAGAGCTACGTTTAGCCCTTCCTTAGCATATGTTTTATAGTTTGTTCTTAACTTGTGTTTGATCTAATTTTTCTTATGAGTAATTACTGTTGGTCGAGAGTTTGATGAACTTTTAAATTTATGATTTTGAGTTTATGCTTGGTATTAGATCATTAGCAAGTTCATATGGTTAGGTTTCCATTATGTTTTGAAGTTTCCTTATAATCTTTTTTAATTTCCTTTGCATTTTTTACTCCAAATTTGAAATTGAACTTTGGTGAATTGAAATTTGAAATTTGAATTGAAATTTCAAATGTGCAATGCATCCACCACATGAACTTGATTCATTGAATCTAGGTTTGGTATAAAAAAAAAGTGTGCACAACAAATTTAAAAAAAAAAACACACCAAACTTCTAGTTCAAAATTTGAATTGTAATTAATTGCAATTTTGAGTTCTAGTCTTTTAAAAATATTGAGTAACAAATTTTATATATATATATATATATATATATATA